GGGCCTGAGGGGGGGCGGTGGCGGCGGAGGCTCCGCCTTCCCACCCTTTGCTTGCGCCCGCCGGCGCAAATCCCGCCTCCCCGCCTCGCTCGCCGGCCTCCTACTGGGTACCGCCTGCCCGTCTCGCCTTCCCCCGCCCCTCGCGGGTGGTGTCGCGGGGTGGGGAGGCAAGGCGCCAGCACCACCCTCGGCGGCGGGGCGGAGGCCGCCCCCTGGCGGCTGGGCGGGGCGAGGGGGCGCCGGTTCCTCACGGGGACCGCGGTTCCTCACGGGGACCCCGGCCCCCTCAGGGACCCTCCACTGCAGCCGGGACCCGCCAGCCCCGGCCGAGCCTCCCCGGGCCTGCTGCTGCGGCTGTAGGCGGTGGGACACAGGGCCTAGGCCCTGGACACCCCCCCCCGTTCCCCGGGGAAGGCGGGCGGGGGGGTCGGTGAGGACAGCCCCACAGCGGCTGTCCGCCTGCCCAGAGCCGGTCCGAGCCCTGCCCGGGGACCGGGGGCGTACCGGGGTCTTGAGCACAACGGCCCGGCAGCTGCCGGAGCCGGGCCCTTGGGCGGACAGGCCAGAAACGGGGAGCAAAAACCGGACGGACAAACCGAGGGGCTGGAAGGGGGGGGACTGGGGTGGGGGGCTCGGCCAAGGCGGGGAGCCCGGCGACCTCCTGCGCGGGCTGTGGTGTTTGCGTGGAGCCCGGCGGCTGCGCGGCGGGCAAAAGTAAAGATCATTCCTGGTGACTACATGGGCACTCGGGGGGTTCGGTCACAGCTCCCGCTCTTAGGGGACGGGAGAGCGAACCTTCCCGTAAGAGCCAAGCTGCAGAGCCGCCGCTGAATCCATTTGAAATGCCCCATCATGGGGGGCTGCTAGAGACCCTGTCGCTTCAACGTGGTGAGGAGCAGCCCTTTCCAAACAAGCGTTCGAACCCAAGCTGTCCCACGGTGCCATCCAGCACACCGCCAACTGCAATTCACTTACGTAATTAAGTATCCTGCCATCAGTAATTTCCCACTGTTTGCAGAAGGAGTTACCTCAAAGGGCTTAATAGGAGTCACATCCCTCCCACCCGGCCCCTCCCAAGATACGGCTTAGCACCCCTCTGAAGACACACACTAGGGTTTCTTTTCCTTTGTAATTTGATTTCTCAGCCTTCACTCCCGCTTGCAGGCCTGCTTCCCCCGCAGCGAGTGGGGTACAAGCCTCTGTCTCAAGAAACCTTGAACTCTCGCAGCAGGTTCTCTCCAGGAGCTGACGCAGCAGATAGGGCAGGAGTTTGCGGCTTCACAAAGAGGTTTTATTTTTAGCACTTCGCTAGATCAGTTTAAGGGCACTGTACGAAATGCTTCCTGTCGACGACTGAGCAGATAGGGAGAAAAATGCCAGAATTCATGGAGAGCTCCACGGCAAAGGCACTGCCACAGATACTGACTAGGGACCCTCAGGCAGGCGGCTTCCAGTCACTCCCCAAAGGTTTATCAGCACAAGTGCATCGCTAGATGTTTGCACCAATGTTTACAATAACCTTTTGTCCTAGAGAGTTTGCTAATGGACTTCAAAGGAGTTTATCTTTCAGGATCCTGCAGAGGAAGCAATATGAAGCCTCGCATATCCCACTGCAAACAACACAAAGCATTTTCTGTCTGGCATCTAAGACTGACCCTGATGTTAAATGTTACCCCCTGAGGGAACCGATCCCGCAGGAGACACCCCACCCGGGACAAGGACACCCTTGCTCTTGGTTGCACGCTGAGTCCCGGTCAGGAGACCATCACTGCAGGGCCGGTAGATTTGGGGCTGTCCAGTGAGAGGTGGAAGGGTTCTCACAGCTCTTCCCCGCCACATCCTCCCAAGGATCACCTTTCGTGACATCAAGAGGGCACTGATCTGATGTGAGGAGGGGTAATTACCAAATTAGGAGGAGTGGGGTGGAAGAGGAGAGCCAGCAGGACCCGGCAGCCTCTTCCCAGCTGTCAGAGCCTGTTTGCCAGGAACAGCTGAGCAGCGGGGGTTGCAACACCGCCGCAGATGCGTGCCCTCCAGATCTCACCATGGGGAGGGGAACAGTGAATCACGAGTGAGTTGTGCAACAGTATTTAAGTTTGGGGAGGTTTGCTCAGGGAGAGTGGTGACAAGCTAGGCTTGCCGGTTACTCAGATCCTCTCACAAAGCAGGGCCCAGCCCTTGGTGTGCGCAGGGATGGAAGAGATCTTTGTCATCCAGGAGGCACCAGCAGCCCTACGGCCGCAGGGAACAAGCAGCTTTGTTTTCTCCAACTCCTCCCCCAGCCAAGGCAGGGACGGGGGCTCCGCTGCTTGGCCACAAGCACGGGTCGGGCCAGCTGAGGAGGTTCTGGTCCCACCATTTTTGGGTCCTCACCTTGAGGGATGAGCTCCTGTGGAGCCTTCCAGCACAGACCCTCCCAGCCCTCGGTCACCTCCAGCTCCCACCGCTTCAGGAAGAGCTGGAACCCAAAACTTGTGTACGGACGAGAGCCCCGGCGGAGCTGGCAGTAGCAGCCCCGGGTGCTCCAGACATTATCTGAGGAAGGAACAGAAAAGGGGTTAAAGTTGCTTCCCCTGCTGCCATACGACACTGTCCTCTTAGCAGCGGTGACCACAGTGTGTGTGTGGTCTGTGCTGCGAGGACCCTGGGCCAGACCAGGAGCTCTGAACTCCAGGACCCCTCTGGCTGTAGGCACATGTGGCGCCCAGCTGCCTTTTTGATTTCACTGCTGTTGTTGTTGAGGCAGGGGAACTCAAAATAAATAAATACCAAACTACACCCGGGAGCTGGGTGAATTTTTTGAGACACCCCTGGAGAACCCACTGTAAGAAATAAGCTTCGTCAAAGATTAATTCCTTGCGGGGGCGGGGGGAAGTAAAAGCGATGCAAGGAGGGTCCCCCGCACTGCTTTTCTCATTTGCAGATACTTGCGTGTGTGGTGTTGGGTCTCACCAGGCTTCCCAGCCACCCTCGTGCCTCCAGCTGATCCACGCAGCCGGACAGAGCAGTTTCTGAAAAGGCCACAAGCCGGTGTTTGGAGCAGCTCCTACCACTGCTGCCGGCAGGGTTGGACTTCCACCAGCTTGGATCATACATCCCTGCCTCTTACCCTGCCTGTCTCCCAGGCAGGGCTGTAGCGGGCAGCCAGAGAATAAGAGGAACAAGAAAGGCCGCTCCACATCCCTGAAACGGGGACCCTCTCCACCATTTTCTGTTCCAGCTGGCACCACCCCGTTGAGAGCAGAAGGACTTGGTCAGCACTTCCAGGCAGCAGGGAAGATGCAAAGGTCACACAGAGCCCAGAGGCAGAGGGCTCGCTGTGCCGGGCACGTCTCTTATTTCTGCACAGTCACCTCAGCTCAGCTTCTGGCAAAGCATTGCCAGCACGGGCGGCTCAGCGGGGCTCTGCCCAGCGGCGGGCAGCACGCTTGGACGTGTCCGAGGAGCTTTCTGCCCTCACCGCTGCCCGGTCCGGCTCTGCGCAATGCAACGGGGCAGACCGCTGCTCCTTCCCCAGCTTTAATGCTTAAGGACCTCAGTCTTCCCATGCCTCTGCCCACCACCCCCAGGACAGCCGCCCCCCTCCAAGAGGTTCAGCCCTTCTGTCTGCTGCCAAAAGTTTCTGCCCTCCGATCGTAGCATCGCTTGCTTACGCTGGGTCATGATCCCACGCTGCCGGCGAGCGGGGGAAGAAGCTCCGCATTGTTGTCGTCAGTGCTTTGCAGAGCCAGTCACTGCCTTGTTTTCTAAGGTTTTTCACCAGGGAGCAGAGCAGCAATTAGAACAAGGGACTGAGAAGCGGCTATTGCCGGCTCGCCGCCACCGCTGAATGATGCTTTGACCTCTGGCAAGCGGCAGCACCGCTTCCCCCCCGGTGCCGGGGGACTCACCGTGTACCTGGCGCAGAGGCAGCGCCGCCTCCAATTCCTTATTCTTTGTGGAGCAGCTTGAGGTCACCGAATGAAGGGCTCCCTAAAAGCACGTGAATGATAAATAGGTAGTTACCTACGAAGGAAGATGAAGCGTTAGTCCCTGGATCTGTGTAGAAAAGGGCCTGCCCCACATGCAGTGGGGATTTATTCTGCTTATGGGAGGATTTGGAGGGATCTCGGGGGGAGCGTGGGCACGCCCCAGTGCATTTGTTGAGTGCTGTACAACCAGGGCTCTGCCTCTTTCAATTACATCTTGCCAGCAGATTATTAAATCCTTTAATCTCTGAGCAATGATGCTGATCTAGTTGCCTTACAGACATTGCTCACACCACATCTGTTGAAAACCCAGATCCAAGATAAAAGCCTGCATCTTCCCACGTGGTTGCCAGCCATCCCTTTTCCCCCCTCTCTCAGCTCCCATGGGATGATGGCAGAGATGGGAAGAGGGACGGTGGGGCACAACCCGGGGCTGCGGGACCTCGGCAAACAGCCACGGAGTTCCCCCAGGTGATGCAGGGGTCGAGGCAGAGCCGGGACGTGGCTGAGGGGCCGCAGACAAGGGGCATAGGACACATGTAGGCTCCCAGCCTGCAGCCCCCGAAGCCGGGCAGGGCTGCAGCTCCTTCCAGCCCCCCGTTAGCGTGGCCAGTGATCGGCAAAGTGCCACAAGATACCACTAAGCCATCCAGCCCCACATCCCAACGGGATTCATCCTCTGGGTCCGGGTCAGAGGGTCTTCTCCTCGAGGGCAGCAGCCCCAAGGGCCTGCAGGAGAGGCAGTACTTTGCAGTAGCTTTTATTGCTCGTCTCCCGTTCGTCAGGAGATGCAGCTCAGCACTCACCTGGCTGTTTTAAGTGTCTGGGGGTGATTTGGAAAATGGGCAGTTTCCTTTAATGACATGCCTGTGGATGGGAAGATGTTGGAGCTCTGCGCCCTGAGCTGGCTCCCGTACCACTGTTGCCATCTAATTATAGAGGAGTCAGCTGCCGGCAAACTGATCCATCCTAAATCCAGGCTTAGTATGAGCTGCCCTTGCCCCTCCAACTCCCCC